TCATAATACACTCCTATCCTACAACAACATTTGTCCACACCCTGAAATCCTAATAATGCAGAAAATCCACGTGCAGATGAATCAGAGAATCACAGTAAAGTACTGAACATTTTCTTTTCTTTTTCCTTTTAAGCTCATTGCAAATCTAATTTTATTATGGTGAACTAAGCAGTGGAAAATACCCAGAATGCAGAGCACGTGATCACCACTTTGCCATAGTCTGTACCAGTGAGGTTCTGAACTGGGCAATGCAGCAGCAAGAAAACCAACCCCAAACTCAGAACCAACAAACCTAAAAGTAAGGAGAAAGGAGCTGAAGGGCACTGGAGTGACTTGCATGGTGACCTTGAGCTTCATATCAGAGAACTGTTTGTGTTTCGTGTCAGAGTACTGTTCATGTGATTTGGAAAATGGAATAATACTGAAGGATTTTCTGTTGTTACACAGACCAGTATGAACATTCTGGAGGGGATGGAAAGAGCAGCAGAGAAGCAGATTTACTTCACAGAATGTTATTTTGGTTACTTGCAGAATTTGTCACTGATCCTTGTTGTAACATACAATACCTGCTGGATGGGGAAGGTAGTTCCTGCTAAAAACTTTGCAGAAGGTTCTCTGAATAGATCCTGAATGCTGTCTTTGGTTCAAGTTGTTACAAAGGAATGTGTGTGAGAAGCCCAAATGCCTCTTTCTCCCCTTTGTGCTATATTAGAATTCTAAATATCCTACACATTTACTGCTATGAAAAAAACCACATTTGTGCAACACAAGTGGAGTTGTACCAACCCAGGCTGTTAGCTTTGTATTAACAGAGGAGTCCTGTGTGTGCTACCTTTCAGAATCTATTTTTTTTGTTACATAGATGCATCAGATGTTACTGGTAAGTTTCATTACCATGTCAGAATTCTCCTGCTGTCCAAAATTATGAATGTGTGCAGAAGTTTTGTCACTGCTTCTTGTGGCTTTGTTTTTATACTTATCTCTGCTCTGTCCTGGTTGATGCCAAACAGTGGGGGATACACCCAAGAATATGATTTACCTTTAAATAAAGGTGTTTTTCCAGAGATGCTTTTTCTGTTTTCTTTCCCAGAGCTTTCTATAAGTGTCATTAAGATCACTTTCTGTGCACTGGGTTGGGTTTCTCTTTGTACAAACAAACTCTAGTGAGTGGTCTAGACAAGCCTATTTTGCTTTCCCAAGCACATCTCTTCTCTGAAGAACCTGTTTTCTAAAAGACACATTTGGAGTCCAACTGGATGTAAATTGAAAAAGGAAATTGCTTTACTCTTCTCTATTGTCAGTGGCTCTGAACAAGAGCTCTAAACTACCCAGGTAAGTTGCAAAAACTTTCAGCTGGGAGGTGACAAATAACAGAGTTTATGAAAAGACTTTTTTTCCTCCTCTGTACCACTAAAAACCTTGAACTTATAAGTTTGAGTGAGGCATAATTCTGAGATTGGTTTGATTTACAGTAGGCTTTGGAGGTTGACATTTAGCAGTGTCCTACAACATCTCCAGACACATGGATTAATAAGCTCTTAGCAGACACATCCAGTCATGGAAAAGTCTGTTTATTAAATGCAATTAACAATATAGATTAGTAACATTTGATTATGAAACTGATCTGTCATTTAAAACTAAGTCAGTTACTAAGGAAGAGAATTTTTCTGTTCTTCAAATTAGTGAGGAGTTCTGGGTTGTGGCAACTTACACTTTGCCTCTTCAGGAGAAAAATGGCACAGCCAATCACACATGAAAGCAAGGAATTTGAGCAAAGACAAGACTAATTCAATTAGAAGTGTTTAGACTTCCAGTAATTCCCTTTATATCATTTTGGTGGATAAAAGCAACTGCATTATATAAGACTTCCAACACCACTGTCTCACCAGGAGGCCAAGGAAACAGAGGATTTACATCCTGAATTTATCATGTCCAGTCTTAGCTGTTTTTTCATCTGCATCATTGCAAGATGTTTTCTCAGTACTGTCAGAGAATTCAAGGTAAGCTCTAGACCCAAATATTGAGTATACTTGTTCTCCTCCAACACATCCACGTGGTTTGTATTAAAAAAAAACTATGTATTTACAGGTAGTTTCTGTGATTAAGTCAGTATGATTAAAATATTGTGCACCAAGACTTTCATGGGTAAAGTAAGTTGTAAATAATTACCTCAAGGCAGCTCTGTATGGATTTGAAGACATTTGGTGTTGCTATCTGGGCTGATTTTGCAGAACTGCCTGATAGTGTTGAACTGTGAAAGAGTCTTAGACTACTGTTTTCAAACAGAAGAAGGTTGTGCTGGGAAGCTTCCAAAGTGGTTCCTGAGCAGGAAGATGCAGAGTCAAGGAAGAATAGGATCTCCATATGCACAGTCCTGTTCAATAGCAAGATTGTAGTCTCCTCCTTGTCCACCCTTGTAGGCACTTGTCACAATTCTCAGCCACCCTCTCTCACCCTGTAAGGGAGTTAATTTGCATGATAAGTTAGATGACATAACTGCAGAGAGTGTGTGCTGTTGAGTCTGTTCTGTCTTCCAGATATCAATGATTTCAGTGACTGTATGAATTCACTCATGAAGTATAACACTGTGCTCACTGGTGAATTTACATCCTCATCCTTTCCAGGTATGGGACTTGATTTTTGCCTACAGCTAACAATAATTTACATGTGCCTATAACAGAAGCTGCATGTGCATGGAAGGGCAGAATTTGGGATTGAGCTGACATTACTCAAGTAACTTTGAATATCGTTGTCTTCAGATTAATCAGGTTTAGTTCAAACAAAGCTTTAGTCTTCATAGCCACAAGCTAGTGCTGAAGTTTCCACTCTGCAAGTGAACCCCCCCTTCCCTCCAAAGTCATCTTGAAAACATCTTTTGTGCCTGTTGCCTTACCCAGGGCTCACCCCAGGAGTTCCGAACAATCCAGTACTCGATTCCATTTTCCACGCCCCAACCAGCCACGGACACGATGTGGTTCACCTCAGGTGAGGGGTTGTACTCAGAGTACAGTCCCCCAGTGTAGGCATCCAGCTTTTCAGTGGCCATTATGCCACAGCTGTAAGACAACAGAGAAAGCAGTTTTTGGACAAGAGGATCAGGGCAGTGCTAAACAACAGTTGCTTTTCTTGCATTCTGAATTCAGAGCGTTCATGTACAAACCAGCTGAGGTCTGCACACTAGTGCAGAGCTGCTAACATATGCTAGAGTGGAGAATTAAACTCAGTCAGACTGAGTTTCAAGTATTTCAATCCCAACACTACTAGTAGATAAACATTTTCTTTTCTACCATTCAAGGATTTTTACCTAATTGGTCCATTAGCATAGATTTCTGCCATCATTTTTTGCCTGCCACTGACAGAGCCATAGTCAGCAACTTTCCAGAGAGTGTAGTTCTTTATCACGTGGCATTCTCCAAAAGTGACACAAGTTCCACACTGGTTAAACTTCTTACACTCTGTAAAACAAGAGGGAGATGATCACTGTAGGACGGTGCTTTTCTTCAGGTGAAGTAGTGATAGGACACTAACCTTCTTGAACTTATTTGAGGCAGATACCAATAACTTAAAGACATATATAACTAACTAATACATGCTTGCTCTGGTGAACAAAATTCCTTCCTAGAAACTAGTTTTCAAGTCCCTACAATCACCAGTTACTGTTCTTTACTTCATAGTCATGAGTGCTTTGATGAGGATGTTTCACCATAGATACAGAAACTATTCTGGTCATACATGACTGGACAAAGGTTCAATTTCTCCTTTGTTTAGCTTGAGGTGACACTTCCAAATATTTCAATACATTAGAGATTGTGTGTCACAGATTTAAGAGATTAAGTTAAAACAGTTTGGCTGTGCAAACCTGTCTAGGCACAATTTAATGCTATGCTCTATGCCTAGAGTAAGGAGAGACATTCACAGGCCTGTAAAGAAAACCTGTTCTGTCAGTCATACAGCAGCAGCCAGGACACTGAAAACCCCCAAACCATCTTTTGTTCATGTACTAAGATCTGCTAAACCTGGGAAGAAGGCTTACAGCAAAGCAAAGACATCATACTTTGGTCCTTAGCTTGGTAGTTGTTGCAGGTCTCGTCTGGAATGCCATGCTCATGGGCATACCTCCAGACACCTGAATGGTCTCCACCTTCACAGGATCCTGCATCAGCACAGTCAATGACATTCTGAACAGACAGGTAGGCAGAAGGCCATGCACCTTTCCTCTTTATGTTGATTCGGTCTGGGAGGATAAGAAATTGTTAGTGGAATACACATTGTTAGTGGTCACACATTGCAACTAGTGTGAAAACTGTCTCCTTTTCATTGAGCCTGTAACTGTTTGCAGGCCACAGCACTTGTGGTTGGAAAAGCCTCCACTGGTGCCAGTCAGGCACTCAGCATGACCTAATTCAAACCAGAGGCTGAGTTATTATTGTGGGTTTCCATTAGAAGTCTTTCCCATTAAAAACTCAGCAAAAACATGCAGATGAGTAAGATCTGTCTAAAGCCTTGAAGAGCCCTAGACCTCTTTAATTAAAGTCACAGCTGCTGGAAGCTTCCAGATCTGTTTCCTGGCTTTGACAACAAAGAGTTTTCAAATACACACCATAAAACAGGCTCTCACCAGCCTCTCTTACAGGAGTTGAGATTTAGGCATAATCCCATACAGGTTGCTGGCTCAGAGTCATTCTTAAAGCAAGGAAAAGCTTTCAGAAGTATCTCCTTGCTGTTAGGTCAACATCTCACTGTCATCCTGCCTCTCAGGCAGGCACTGCCACCCTGCTGCCTCATTTTGTCAGAAACAACTAGCTTACTTGGCAGAAAAGCTTCCTGATGAGTATTTATAAACTGCTTCTCACCCTGCATTAACAGACTTAACTGATGCCACTGTAGTACTTTTAATCCTATTAGTACTAACAACATTCAAATACACTTGACAGAACTGGGAGCTATTATCCCAGCCTAGTCTTCCAGATAAAAACCCCAAAAAACAAAAAAGGAATGCTTTAATTACTCACAAGAAAAAACATACTGCTTTTTAAAATCAACCTTTTCTGCTTGTAAAATAACACACACTGGCATAGCTACATATCCAATTAAGTTTTAACCAAAGTTATATATTTAAGAAGTTGCTGTATTTTATTTTTCCTAGTACTTCACTACATTCCTGGCAGGTATCACCCTGGTTCTGCATTTGTGCCCTGTTAAGACTAACCCTCCTGATTGCTGCTGTCTGCTCACCCCTGCATTATCTTCCTATTGCTGCACAATTTCTCTTCTCCTTCACAGTTAATCTTACAGCTTCCCTACGTACACAGTACTTCTGCAGCATCTGTTGCATGCAAATCATGTATTCTCTTTAGAGAAATTACTTCTTTTATCTGCAGCAACCCCCAGCTTCCCTTTTCCTAAGAAAAAGGCTGATGGGAAGATTTCCTGATGGAGCCAGACCAGTCTGTCTGCTGTGGCAGTGAGTTCATTTGAATGATAAGGCTCCTGAAGCAAATACCCCCAGGCTCTCCTGCAGCTTCTTTCGTTTCCTCATTCCCAGCTGCTGCAGCAGGCTGAGAGGTCCCAGAAAAGGGAAGGAGACATGGTAACTGCTTTTGCATCTGCTGCTGCCATCACCACAGCCCCGAGGAGAGGCAGAAAAACCCAAGTTTTTTACCGCAGGAGCTACGAACACATTCCTTCTGCAAAGAGGTTTTCACCATAGCAGCATGCAGAGAGGGCAGGGACAGCTTTCTGCACTGAAACCAAACCTCCTTGCCCTCCAGCTTGGGAATTCCCACTCATCCTGGTGTACTCACAGACATCTCAGCCTCGGGTTTTTGCTGGGTTAGGCACTGCAGTGATTTAGCACCTCATCTTTGGACCAGATGTCAGTAACCTGAAGATAAACCTCCTTCACTCCCATAGGAGTACCACCCCAGCCTGGCAGGGCAGCGGGCAGTGCTCAGCTCACCTGCCAAGGCGCTGGTGCTGCCGTGTGCCCAGCAGGACCCGCAGTACTGAGGGATGTGCTGGTTCCGAGTGGTGCTGGCGTAGTTGATGCCGTTCACGTTCCTCCAGTCCCAGCTCTGGGGCAGCGCCGACACATCCAGGTACTCGTGAGGGCGCGGGTATGTCCTGGGGGGCGGAGAGAGGCGCTCGGCGGGATGGAGGATGTGGTGGAAGGGCAGAGATTCCCGGAGTTTCGTAACGCGGACACGAGTGCGGGGCGGGAGCGC